AAAGAAAGACAACTCTTCTTTGGAAGAGAAATGTTGATAGAGAAAGAAATTGGTTCAATTTATTGGTTAATTTTATTTTGGATTTTTGTGGTTCAGTGATTTTCAGTCCTCTGACTCTTTGTGACCCTATTTGGGGTTTTCTTGGCACAGATACTGCAGTGGTTTGCCATTTCCTTCTCCAGTTCCTTTTCCAGGTGGGTAAACTGAGGCAAACAGGGTTAAGTGACTTGCCCAGGATCACACAGCTAGTTAAGTGTCTGAGACCAGATTTGCACTCGGGAAGATGAGTCTCTCGAATCCAAGTTCAGTGCTCCATCATCCACTGTGCCCACCTAGGTGCCTTATTCTGGATATTTAGCCTAAAACAACATAAACACAGCTTTTTTTCATGTCATTCACTGCCTGCTCAAATACTATTAGTGGCTCCCTACTGCTAGTAGGGTAAATCTCAAATTCCTTAACCTGGCATTCAAGGTCTTTCATAATTCAGCTTTAATTTTATATCTCACTGTAACCCAATATGAATTCTTTACTCCAGCCAAGACGTCAGTTCACTGTGCCCTCACAGTTTTGCTCCTGCAGTATCTTCTGTATGCCTGGAATCATCTTCCCTTTTCATTATTTAAATCAGACTTATCCTTCAGGGCCTCAATTAGGTCCTACTTCCTGTGTGAAATTTTCCTTAACCTTTCTGGCTTGGTGATTCTCCCTCCCAATTTCAAGAACACTCATTGCCATTTCTGAAGCTGCTATGATGGCCCAGAACAGAGATGCTACAGTAGCAGGTGAATATAAATCGTTCTATGTGAACTTGTTCACTGTCACAAGAGACTCCAGTGTTAAGAATCCAATTGGTATCCTGGTATGTTAACACGCCAACTGCTTTGCATGTATCTCAGTTCTCCATGGAAGTAGTTGTGTCTAATTTCATGTACTTATAGGGAATGGCTTTTCCTATAGGCCTAACAACCCCTTAGCCCCCAAGCCTCTTTTGCAACATAATACCTTTCTTCACCTTATATTCTCAGCCCTTATTATGCCCAAAAAGGAAGTTAGATAGCACACTTGCACTTTATCCACCAAGATTCATGTCCTTCTGTTCTATCAGTGTATCTTTTATATTCCCACAGAGCTCTGATATATCTTTTATTCTTTATAAGTAGCTTCCCTAAAGAAATTTCATTCCTATACACAGTAACATCCTCAGCAAAGACTCTTGGTGATAAACACTGAAAAGACAACTAAAATCATCTACCCTTCAGAAAATTGGTTGCTAGGAACTATGAAAATCTACAGACCATTTAATTAAATGATTTCAACATGGTTTATTGTTCAAGTACAATAAGCAATATCCTAGTTAATGCATTTTCTTCAAATTAAACTATTTACAATCTCTAGCCCCCAGCAAAGAAAATTTAGTGTATTTTGAAACTTAAAACATATTGACTACATGGTTTGAATAGTAAATGTGTGGTCATTAACCCTAAGAATTTCACTTCAGTTGGTCTTTAAAAGTTGCCTGTGTTTTCCACATGTAAATAAAAAGGTCAACTAGACTAACTACAGTAAAATCCTATTTACAGTAAAATCCTATTTATTGAGAACATCTGGAAAACTGCATAGTCTGGTTAATTATTTTGGTTAACAGAATAACCACATATTACCATACATGATTGTCAATTTATTAAAAATAACGCATTAGAACACAAAATGCATTAAACTATTATGAACATCTTAATACTTCAGAAAGCACTTGTTCTGCCTTAAAACAGTGTTATAAATACCAATTATAACAGCACAGCACTATAAATATAGAAGTTATAGAAGACTAGGCTGACTGTATACTGACTCTGGAAGCTGTCTTTTTAATTTTTTAAAAGAATAAATTCCTAATACTGAATTGTCTTATAAAAGTAGGTTACGGGAAAAAAATCAGTTACTTCAAATTCCTTAGTTGGATCAGTAACTTTCAGGTCTAAAGAAAGTGAAGTAGGTTGTCAGTAGGCATATGTGAAACTTGAGAAAGCAAAAAAAATTCAAAATGGTAAAAGGGCTAGATACTACACAGTTTTTTAAAAATTATAGAATCTCATATAATTGGCTACTTGAGAATCTTTTGAACAATTCATCTTTCAGATAGGTGAAATGTTTAGATGAGCCTTTTCTCTAAATGATGGCATGGAGGGGAGGGAGTGGTCTGACTTTATTACTCCAAAACCTCCTTTACAACTTTGTAGAACCACAGAACTTGCTGCTAGCTAGAACAGCTAAATCCGGATAACAGTAGGTTAAAGGATTCAAGAACATAACATATTTACTGTGCACTTCTACTCAGCTCTGATAACTTAGAATGGGGGGGAGAAGACAGATGACTTCAAGCACGCATCTGGTTATCCAGGATACAAACAATTAAATGCATAAAGCATTTTAGTTTGCTTTTTACTTGCTTTACCTAAGTATTTATTAATATCTATTTGTATACCAGAACATCCAGTAAAACATGATAGAAGAGTGAAAAGCTAATAGTGCACCATTTAAGTTGGACTAGGAAAATAAAACATACTCTCTTAGTATTTGTGAATGTAAGTTACCAAATTTAACACTGTATTAATGTCACATTTACAATTAACATCAGTATATTCACAATGAAGGCCATATGCTATTTTTTTTTCCTTTATGGAGTACCTCTTTGCATCAAGGGGAACACTACAAAAAGATAATGGTACAAGGTGATCCCTTTTATAATCTCTAAAGGAAAATGGCATTCGTAGTGATTGTCAGTAAGACTACAGGGGTGAACATTTAGTAAAATATTAAGTGGGGATTAAAATACAAATCAGATATCAAAAGAGATGATTATCTGAGTTTAGACTTTTTTTTGCCCAACCAAATGTGTAATTTGGCTTGTACAAAGGGGCTAAAGGATTGAGGGATTTGGCAGTATAAAGAGAAACTATGAATGGCAAAAATCTGGGAGTTGGAATTAGAAAGAGAAACTATGAATGGCAAAAATCTCTTAAGTTTTTTTAGACCAGGGTCACTTACAGAAGAAAAGAAGTAATCTGAATAAATTGAAGACCTTGAACTGAAGAATTCATGGGTCAATTTATGTTGGGTATTGTTGAGACACAAGAGAGTCATAAAAAGATGGTACATAGAACACACTGCCTGAGAGAAAAAAAATCAACATTTACTTCTTAAGAAGAGCTTAATTTTTCAATTATGTATCCCTAAAATGCTTATTGATGTCCCAGTCCAAGAATTTCAAATTTAAACTAGTTTGTATGTAGAGCTATGAAGGCTCCCAAAATTTAAAAAAATCTCTCAGTTCTCAGAATGTCATACATTTCTAAACTAGCAAGGTTATACACGATGTTTCTATGTTCCTTAACTAACAATGCCTTTAGGTAGAAAACGTCCTAACAAATAAGTATTGTGCATGTTTCAATTTTTCCCTTCAAATTTTGAGTCCTTTTCCTCTTGCCATATACCTCTCTCAGTCTCATTTGCCTCCAAAGAAAATTCCCCTATGGCTTCAAAAATTCTTAAAGTTTTACATTTTTTTTCACACTCTATCTTTTTCTTCCAAGTGGCATTAGGGTACAAGTACAGTACTTATAAAATTCCTATTAACACATTTCCCTTAAGATACATGTTACCATAATGTAACTTCCTCATTCATTCTAATTGAGTACCATTACACTAAATCTGAGATTTACTCTTTACAAAAAAGAACCCTAACTTATTCAATTACAGTAACTGAATAAAATAAAATTTAAAAATAAAAAAGTGGTTGAATAAAACTTTTCTAGTGAGGTTAAAAAAAGACTATATATGTTTCTAATTAATGAGACAAGGAAAGAATATTAAGAAACTGAAAAAAATATGCAGAATTTGAAAAAATTGCTTTTAGTATATGTACATTCCATGATTTAACCACCTGAATAATGGATCAATTCACCCTTCTGTTTTAGATAAATCAGCACGAGAGAACTTTTTGGGAAGAAAGAAAAACTAAATTTAATTTCACTTTTCTGGATGGACATAAAAATCTCATCAAACTTTCTATAATAAAAAAATTGCTCTATTATTTGGCAGAAGTATTTTTTGTTTTATTTTGTGCAGAATTATATGTAATTATTATATATGCCATGTATAACTATGTCATAATTGATAAAACAATTAAGTTTTCAAGGGTAAAAAAGTATTCTATACATACAAGATTACTGTTACCAATGGCTACATTTTAGCTCTATAGCAGAAGTCTTAACCCTTATGTCATGGACTGCTATGACAGTCTGGTAACATCTGGGGATCCCTTCGTCTAAGAATGTTGGCTGCCTACATTCAAAATTGAAGAAAACGCTATTTCTTTAGAAGTTAGGGAGAAAAAAAGATGAATTCTCCCCCCCCAAGTTAATAGACCCTCTGAAATCTATCCACAAACCACAGTGGGGTTCATGGACCCCAGGTTAAGAACTTCTGCTCTGTATGTACCTTTATGAAAAAATTTTAAATTATAGAATTTGTACTGTCTTCTCTACCCTCTTCCATTCTCCTGGACTAATATTTACATATATAGCATTCTAATAAATGTACTGCCAGCTGCTAAAATCATGGCTGTGTCTCTATCCCAATATTTGTTATATGATGCTTTTCAAATAATTTTCATAAATACACAATCTCATTTGATCCTCACAACAGCCCTGTGAGGTAGGTAGGGCACGTATTTCTTCCTTTTTTGCAGCTGAGACAAATGGTTATGTGACTTGCCGATGGACACATGAATAATTAGTGATGGTGGTAGGTCCAGGTCTTCAGATTCACTCTTAGCTTCTTTATACCAGTTATACAGCATTTAATATAACTTTTATAACAATAGAAAACTATTTTTATTGGAAGCTATTTAAATACAGAAGAAATTGAACATATAGATGGGTTGGAAATAGTCTGATACGAATGACATGAGAAAATTAACTTAAAAAAAAAAACCCCAAAAAACAAAAAAAGCAAACACTTCTCATAATACCTTCTGGATTGAGAAACAGAATATCAGGTCACCTGCAGAAAATATCAGTGAAATTTAATTTACTTTTATTTATACAGTACATGTGATTTCACAATCATTTAAAAATAAAATATATTTTAACTGTATCCATTTTCTGTCTTTTTTTCATTAAGAAAACAAAAGACAAACTATAGTTTTATTCAAGTTAATGTATAGTTATGACACAGTGATAGACTAAATCAGATACCTAAAAATTAAACATTAAATGACTAACAAACTACAGTATATTTACTTTGTTTTCTTTAAGTTGATAGGTCAAAGAATACAATCAGAAAAACTGAGAATGCTAAATGTCTGCTTATTGATAATGTGAAGATCATATTATTTAACTTGAAAATGTTTTGTTTAATAGTTTCTTTAAAATATCCATTCCTTAATTAAATAATTGATACGGCAAAAAAACTGGGGACCTGAACAGCAAACAAATTTAGCCCTACCTGAAAAATTATATTGTAAAGGTCATGATAACAGAAATTTCAAAGACTTTCTTTGCTTACTCAAAATTCTTAATTCCCTTCCTGGTTTTCCAGTAAAATAGGGATTCCCACACATACATATACTCACTAGTCAGGTAATTTATATAGCCACCTACCATACTAAAAACATCAAGGACATAAGAACTACCTCAATGGAAGATGAAGCTATATTTATCCACCTTATTACGTTATGCTCTGTTATTCCTTATTCATTCTTAATAGCAACCACAATCCTTAGCCTAGGAACTAAATAAATGCTTCCATCAAATTTAATGAGGCCACCACCAAGTTTCAGGGCTTTTTTACTTCCATTGTACTCCCATTCAATTTGGCTGTCCCAATATCAAATTAAATAACTAATGTGCTTTAGAAAGAATTTTGATATGAGATTTAGATTCCATGAACTGGATCCCAGCAATTACATCTAAGAATGAACCACAAAAATCGGAAAAAACCAATAATGATAAATAATATTTGAAGACTTGTTATATACCTTGGTTGAATCTCTAAGTGACATATTTAGGAAGCTTATTTTCTCTACACCTTTTTATCTCTCTCATACATTTTAAAATTCTAAGATGTTCCATTTTCCTGTTCAGATAGGAGTACTAATTTAAATGATGTCTATTTTAAAAAACATATTTCAGAGATGTCCTTTAGTAAATTTCTTTTCATTTAGGCTACTCATACTGTAGAGTCTGTTCTAAAATTACTCAGTGAACATAGAGTTCAACAGAAGAAATGTAAAAGCATACTAATTCATAATTCTATCAAATAATTCTGTTTTAGACATCATCTTAAAGTACTTTACTATTTTGAGCTTAGTGTTAAAATTATTTTGTAGCAATCACTGTCATATATGATCATGGTTTACAAGAATCTCCAGATTTTGCTATAAGATATTTAAGCACCCTGAAATTGAGTTGCATTTGAAATCATTATTTAAACAAAGATTCAAATCAAGTAGGTTACTTAACTGAATGGCAATATGGTATTTTGTGATCTGCTTTGCTTTGTTAGCTGCAAATTCTAAATCTAAAGGAAATAACTTGTATCATTTTTAGTATCTTTGCAGGACTATCTGCACATGAAATTTTAAAAAGTAATCATACTAAGATATAAACAGAGTTTTAATGAGAAAGTTAAATAACACCACTGCTAGAACTGGGTAAATAATTTTACTCAGCCTCAAAGAGCTTGTATGTTCAGGCTTTTGGGGGAAAGTACCTCTACTACACTCTGACTCTCTTTTCATAAAAGCAGTCATATTTTTAAGAGCTCAAAAGATGTAGGATTCTCAGCACAAAGAAATGAAGACATTCTGGAGTTAAAAAAAAAAAAAAAAGATTATAACTACCTAGGGGAGATTTGGTGTTGCATGCAGTCTTTAAATCATTCTAGGAAGTACTTTATTCCCAATGCTTTTAGTGAATTTTTCAAGATATTTAAAAAAGGACAAATATGAAATTATTCTGAAAAGGTGGAAAAATATAATTAAAAGCAAATGATGCAGAACTGGGCTGCAATAAAGGTTGTATAATTCTTATTATCCAGGAGTTCTTACTTAAAGGACAAATCTCTGGCTACCTGCCCTTAACCCACTTTGGGTAGTTAAATTCCTTAAAAACTACCAACAACTCTTTTTTTTTTAAGTTAGTTCTTACTTTTTTTATATATTATCTCCTACTTTCTGAGCATTCTCAGACAATCTGTTTAGAAGTCTTAAAAAATTAGAGTTCTACATTCCAATAAACAATACATTCTATAGCTCATCAAAGTAACTCTTTCAATAAACAATGGGGCATTTGATGAGAAACAGGCAGTCTTAATCCAGGACTAAGAAAACCTACTCCAATAACTTGTAGAATGCAACCAGGTCACGTTCTGAACTAGCTTACTAAAGTACAACTTAAATATTTTTTTAGCAGCAAAAACATCTATGATAGCCAAAACACGTCTGCATTAGATTGTGGGCTATTTCTTTTAAAGAAATATCAAAATCGTGTTTTTTGAAGACAGTTCAATTGTAAGTAAACATGAAGGATATCAAAAATCTTGTTTATCTCCACTTTTGCCAGTGGATTCAGATGTAACTGGAACCTTATTATTTTCAACAAAAACAGATTCAAAGGCAGCTTCCTGCTCCTCCAATGTGTCAGCAGCAGTGGTTCCACTAATTAGGGCTGAGTTGGTAAAAGCTCGTCGCTGCTCTGTAATCTTATTCAATTCCACTGTTTTCCTACCTCTTCTTTTACCAAGAATTTTGACATAATTAGCTGGCACAAGTCCTGTTGTTTGGCCATCAAGGCTGGCAAGAAGCCAGCCACGAACTCTGGGCTGTTGTTCTGATGGAAGGAAAAAAAAGTTTTTCAATTATAAAATACTCTGGCAGTACATGACAGAATAGACATTAAAACATAGTAAGTAAAATATAAAACAAAAATAAAATATTAAAGGTAAAATTCAAATTTCAAAAAGTGTCCTTAATAGTCTCTTATTTGCATAAGACATTTCAATTATAATACAAAAAATGTATCAGGAAACTAATTCCTCCAGATATACAAAATAATATCCACTGAAGGCTTAAACCTTTCTACATTTCAAACTCACAAAACCAAAGACAAGGATTACTAAATTTATTTTCAATTTCCTTACCATTCCTGTTAATAGGAAAAACAATGTGTATTTACTAAAACATAGCTTGGAAAATGATACATTAAGTGGTATAATTCCCCTTTGTCCTTTTGGTAAGCTATAAAGAAAATCATTCTATTTCATCTGTGATGAAAAACATGCTAACATTGCCATGAAATTTTCAAAGGAATGAATACTGAGTTAAATCCAGAATGCAAAAAAATAATTTAAAGTACTCAGATTTCTTCAGATTTCTAGACAAAAGTTCAAAAAGTCAAAGGCAATTTACAAAAGAAAGTTGTTTTTTTTTTTTTTGGGCTAGGCAATGGGGTTAAGTGACTTGCCCATAGTCACACAGCTAGTTAAGTGTTATGTGTCTGAGGCCGCATTTGAACTCAGGTCCTCCTGAATCCAGGGCCAGTGCTCTATCCACTGCGCCACCTAGCTGCCCCAAGAAAGTTTTAAGTATTCAGTTTTGAAAGATTTATTTTTGCATTTTAAAGCTCTTATAATTTGTATACCTAGTTATACATGGCATCTTAAGACAACTGCTAAATCTGTTCAGTTATCTTTGAACAATGTAACATAGATAGATATAGGTCATCACAAAAGACAAAAGATTTCCTTATTCTGGAAAGAATTATTCAAAGAAAACAAAGGAGAAAATTTAAGTGAACCAGTCCTTGGAAATGGGTTTAAAGTCTACAATGTTCAACACATTTAGGTATTCATTTACACCTCTTACTCGATAGAGGGGGAAAGCAGAAGAATCAAACGAAAATATTAGAAGCCACTGCTACATAAAGACAAGAGGAGCGATATATCCATCAGTTGAGGGAGTGTCCCCATCAGGGGAAGGTGAAAGGAATAAGCATTTATTACATGTCTGCTATGTGCCAGCTCCTACTATATTTTTTTTTGGCTACATATCTGATCCTCACAACAACCCTATAGGGTAGATCCTATTATTATTTCCATTTTCCAGTTGAGGAAACTAAGATAGACAGAAATTGTGACTTGCCCAGGATCACACTGGTAATAAGTCCTGAGGCCATATTTGAACTCAGGTCTTCCTGACTTTAGGCCAAGTGCTCTATCCACTATACCACCTATCGTTGCTGAAAAAGTCTAGACTGAAAAGTATAATAAATTTTCTATTCATACCTAATTATCTGGTGTCATAAAGAAAAAGTTGAGTGCTACATTCTATCTACTGTTTTAAGTATATAGTGCTTAAAGGAATAACTTAGTAAATTACATACTTCAAACTTATAAAAGCCTATATATACACCTCATTTACCTAGCCTACTCCACTAGCACCAAAAATCTTTTAAACCATTTTTGATAGAAATGTTTCTAAAATATATCATGTCCTTCTTTATATTCTTAAATAGTATGTGAAACAGAACATGTGACTTTTCCTGGATCATTCCAGATAATTTCAATCAATTTTTGAGGGGAAGGTCCAGATTTGTCACTGAATTGAATTAGGGAATTCCTGGTTTGGAAACTCAATCCACCAAAGCAAACAGGCAACTCCTCTGCAATTTTAAGTTTTAAGAATGCTGCCCAGGGCACTGCCAGGTCAAATGATTTACCTCTGTTATTGTCACTGTCACATAGCTAGCATATATAAAAGGCAGAACTAGAAACCACCTCCTTCCTCCCTCAATACCCATCTTCTACGCACAACAGATTGTCTTCATCAATATTGTACTAAAAGACAGAGAAATAATCAGGGACTACTGTGGCACAGAAGACTATTTGTATCAATAAATGACTTTATAATACTACCTATATCTTTAGAAGCTACTTATAATTTTGGTCTTTTCCTTACCATTGGATTGCCAGCTATCCTTCCTGTCAAGTGGAAAAAATATACACCTATGAGGCAGGAGACAGAGTTCTTGCCCCAGTTCTGACACTAAGTAACAGTGTGACTTTGGAAATATCCCTGGCCCTCTTTGGCCCTCAGTTTCTTCATTTGTAAAATGAGTTAAGACTATGGAAGGGGGAAGGGAACAAGTGACTACTATGTGCCAGGCACTGTGCTGAGCACTCTACAAATATTACCTTATTTGATCCTTACAACCCTGAATGGTAGGTATTCTTCATTATTGTTATCCCCATTGTATAGGTGAGGAAACTGGCGCAAACAGAGTTGAAGTGATTTGCCCAGGGTCACACAGCTAATGTCTGATTTGACCTCAGATTTTCCTGATTCAGTCCTGAAGCAGGGGGGAAGAAGGGGACATCTCAGACTAGATGATCTGAGAGATTAAAGTTCACTTCCATCTTCAATATTCAGTGCCCAAATGGCAGTGACACAAGAGAAAAAGGTGGGGTAAAACAACTGGTCTTCTATGACTCTTCCTTTCTACACTCTCATCTTCCCACTCTCAATTGCCTGGACAAATGCTCATTTATGTGGAAAGAGATGTCATTTCCTTTGAGGAAAGACAACAAATGGTGAGCTTGGGGATAAACCAAGGATTAAAGTAGCAATCGTTCACTTTAGGAGATGACTAGACTCAGTGAATCGCCTGGGGTTTTTTTGTAGAGTGTATAGGCTAGGGAGGAAAGAGGGCAGCAGTAAAGGGAGAGGATGGAAAGGAGATCTTTCCTCATGCCACTTCAGGCCTCATTCTGGATCAGCCCAAGTATAAAGTGACAATCAGAAAGTGCCAGTGAGGTGAAGAAGGGAGGCAAAAAGAAGGGGCAAAGGAGAGCTTCTGTGACTACCCAATGTAGGGGCCATTCTAGGGTAGGTCCTGTAAGTGGGTCATATTTAGGTCAGAGACATTTCTCCACTGCTGTTTTTTTCTACCATTTATCTGATCTTTATATGTTAATACTGCCTTACCTTTAGTCTTTTACCTCATTTCATGTCGGTGGCTGTAATACTAAATCTTAAAAATCACTCTGTATTTGTACAGTACCTGTTTTCTTGAAGAGCTCACTAGACAAATTCTAAAGGAGTTATTTTACTATGTATTTCACTGGAAGAAAAATACTATATAATCTAATAATAACATAAATAAACAAGTCAATCAAAAGAATTATGTGGCATCTCCAACTAAAGATGTCTGCATTTGAAGGGCTGGCTTCAAGATCCAGCAAGTTCTAACCAGTTTAACTAGTTCAAATTTCTCAATCATTCACATAACAAATCAACATGTTGTTGCTGTTGTTCAGTCATGTCTGACTCTTTGTTACCTCATTTGGGGTTTTCTTGGCAAAGATAATGGAGTGGTTTGCCATTTCCTTCTCCAGCTCATTTTACAGATGAGCAAACTGAGGCTAACAGGGTTAAGTGACTTGCCCAGGGTCACACAATTAATACATGTCTGAGGCTGGATCTGAACTCAGGTCTTCCTGACTGGAGGACTGGCACTCTATCCACTGTACCACCTAGCTGCCTTTTAAAAAAAAAAAAAATCGAAGTATTCAACAGTAAGACTGTTATTACAATGTAGTTAATACAATGTATTTAATATTAAGTTCAGGTAAAAATTGCCCAAAACCATTAAAGGGTCAGTGTTTTTCATTAAGAAGACCACAGACATATTTTAAAATGATTTATACAAAAATTATGATCTCAATGTTGCTATCCAAATCGAGTCTCCACAAAAAATTCCTATTGCTCTGACTAGACAGGAATAAAAATAAAAATAATTTTATCTGAAGTCATTAAAACAGCAATTAAAAAAAACAGTTCAACATATAAATTCTAGTTAGTTTGCTAAGTCACTGGAAATTGGTCAAAAAGGAATACTCAAAATATTGATAAATGACTTGCTGAAATTTGGCATTGCTCCTGGTTTATGAGCACACAGATTTTCTGAGAGAAATTCAATACCATTACCAAATAAAAGCAAAATATTGCTTCGAGGAAGAGTAGCAATGATCGCATATTTCCAGTGCAGAGACTTGGATAAAAGCAGATAATTCTCTGGTCATTTATTAGATTATACAAGCATTATTCTTCAAAGAGGTGATTTGCTTCCAGTTTGGAATTCACATATTTTGAGTTCTTCTAAAAGAAGCACTATATAAACACAAAATGTTTCCTTTTTTGTTTTTATTATTATTGTTGGGCAAAATCCTGATGCTGTATTTCTCTCCTGAAGGTTTTAAGGCTTTAAATTAATGAGTCACAACTGTAACTAATTAATAATTAACATGGTGTCCTGAATCCTCAGTGGCAATTAGGAGCACTTTATTTACAAACAAAAAATTTCACAGACAAGAAAACACAGACTTTACACATTATATATCACCAATACTCTTAAAATATTGAAGCATATTACCTTTGGGTGCTAAGTTTAGCATGTCACCAGCCCGGAAAGAAATTTCTTCTTCAGAAACAGCAGCAAAATCATATTCTGCTCTAGCTACAACATGGTCATCCTCACCGCTCGCCCAATTGGTGGTAGCTATATTCCAAATTATGAATTACATGAAGTTAATAAAAAATAAAATATCAGCAAGAAAAGCCACATATTTCATCAGATGCAGTTTAAAAAATATATCTCATTCTGTAAGAAAACCAGAAAAAATGTATTCTGTACCATCAATATTGAATTCCTCTGAGTATACTTTCTGAGTATACTTCAAACTTTTCCTACTGTTCAGCCCCCCATTCACCTTTTATTTTTTGGAATATGACTCTAACTCCTGCAGGGTTCACTAAAAATTGAAGCCAAACAATGTGAACTCTGAAATTTTCCTTCTTTTTACCTATGTATGTCTTTCTATCCATCTCCTCCTCCTCTTCAATCTCAAAGGAAATAATTTCTTTTCTTAGGCTAATCCTTTTACTAGTAATTACTTTTGATCTCATCTATTCCAAACCCCTCTCCAAGACTTTGCCCCATCAATTTTCCTCTTTGACACTTACATCTTCAATTTTTCTTAAGGCTCCTTCTTTTTCCTACAAATACATCCTTCTCTTCTTTCTTCTCCCTTAGGTAGTTTATTTACACCAGAGATTTAGCTATGAACTTTAGGTAGATGACTCCAAAATCTACATGTCCAGCCCTACGCACATTTCTGCTTATTGGATATCTCTCTTTTAATGTTCTGTTAGTACCTGAAACTTAAACCTACAACCAAAGCTATTATTCACCCCACCCTGCCCTACTTAGCTCCTCCTCTTGTTTTTTCTACTTCTAAAAATGGCACCACCATTATTTCAGTATCTGAGCTTAAAACCTTAGAAGTTTTTACTTCTTTCTTCTTCCTCATCCCACACATCTAAAAAAGTCACGAAACCCTACTGATTCTCACTGCTGCAATTCAACAATTAAATAATGGATTATGCGCAACAAAGCAATGTGAAATGTCTCTTCCATCAGACCCCTCCTACTTCCACCACATTGAATTAATACTTTTGACCTGGACTCTTGTACTAACCTCCTAACTGGTGTTCCTCCACTCTTTATCCCACAATTCACATTGTACACTTTTGCCAGATTAATCTACCTAAAGCATAGCTTATATGTTATATCCTTATGTTCAAAAATCTTCAACGACTTCCCACTGTCTGCAAAGTTTAAAATCATTAGCTTGAGGACAAAGTGTGGTGCATTTAAGTGGACTAGATGACCAGGACATTTGGGTTCAAATCCCACCTTCAACATTCACTAGCTTTGTGCCCATGGAAAAATGACTTGGTCACTCAAAGACCATTTGCTCATCTATATGAGTACAGCACCTGTAATAATTACTTTTCAGGGATATTGTGAAGATTAAATGAGAAGTACATAAAGTATTTTGTAAACCTTAAAGCACTACATGTTATGTTAACCTATTGGCAAGTATTTAAATCCCTTCACAATCTAGTCGTAGCTCAGCCTCATTTCCGTTATTCCCCAAAACATATCACTCAAGAGTTTCTGAAACACACGTGAAACTTTTATAGAGTTTCCTATTGATTTTAATCCTGATCTGTATGATGCAGGGAGCTCCTGGGTGAGACAATTCCTTTTATCTATACAGATTGGCAACTCCTCTGCAACTTGCAGTCTTTGAGACCACAAGTAGGCATGGACCCTGGGACTTACATTCAGAAATCTGATTCATTTTTCTGAAACTAACATTACTTTCTCTAAACTCTCTCTCAAAAATTCTGTTGGAAGTGATCATTCCCTTCTTTGACTTCCTTTAGTACTTTGTACTATATGTATAGCACTTCATCATATTCTGCCTTGTACTGTAGTTTCTTGTGTAGACTTCTCATCTCAATTACTAAATTACATGGTAGTTGAGAGGCAAGGGCCATGCCATTTGTTTTTTTTTAAATTCTAGATAACGTCAAGCAAAGTGCCCTTGTATAATGTAGATTTGCAATGAATATTTGTTTACTTTAATCGATGATTAAATTAACAAGTCTGTTTTCTGCTAATTATTGTTTTTCCAGTCAAAAAATCCTTTACTCAAAATATATCTAAAGAAGGATCAAAAACAGATAAAATATTTCTACAATCTGATGATATGCCCCATTCATTAAAAACTCAAGGTGGATATATGTTAGCTTATTCCTTTATAACAGAAATATGATTATTTGTAACATTATAAATTTTCCTTACCTGTTACTTCCTCACTGTAGGTAGACAGCAGTTTCCAGATAAGATAAGGACCCCCAAGGATAACAGCAAAGAACAAGAATATTGGCCAAGATTTTGCTGAGTTAGCTGCTCTGTCTTCTGGGCCAAGGCAAGCCACAGTACCTTCACTTTCTGCCCACAAATCCTCATTCTCAGAGGCTCTTCTTAAACCCATCATCTGCTGTAATCGTCTGTAGAGATACCGTATAGTCCTAACTAATGCAAAAGCTGAAAACACTTTTGTGAAATGTACTTTCAACCGGGAAAAATGATTGGCTACATCCAAAACGGCTCTAAAACTGTTATAGACAGCTGAAAAGGTGGCATCCATCATCATACTGACAGAAGCAAATGCATGCACAATACTCTCAATGGACTGAAATGCACCTCTGCTGCTTTCTTCGGCTTGTTGGACAAATCTGCTGGGAGGAAGATCATCCATACGGAACCGGTTATACCCCAACCCACTATATCCATAACTGTAAGGACTGTAGCTTCCATAAAATGAATTTCCATATGCTCCATAACCAGAAGAAAAGGAAGTGTAAGCAGGTCTAAACGTGTTCAGATTGCTGTTTCCTGTCTGCTGTGATGGCCTTGGAAGAATTGGTGGGGGTACTCTCGTAAGAGTTGGTTGCCCAGGCCTCGTCAATAAAGTAGGACCCAAATCAGCAGATCTAAAGAAAGAAAATTTCAGAGATTCAGGATCCACATCCATATTACAGAGAATTAATCAAGCACTTAAAGTCAATTCAGTGACTCAGCAATACCACTTCTAGGTTTGTATCCCAAAGAGATCATGAAAATAGGAAAAGGACCCACATGTACAAAAATATTTATAGCAGTTCTTTTTGTGATGGCCAAGAATTGGAAATTGAGGGGATGCCCATCAATTGGTGAATGGCTAAACAAGCTGTGGTATATAAATGTAATAGAATACTATTGTGCTATAAGAAATGATGAGCAGGCAGACTTCAGAAAAACCTGGACTTATATGAACTGATGCTGAGTGAAGTGAGCTGAACCAGGAGAACACTATACACAGTAACAGCCACACTGTGAAATGACTTTGATAGACTGAGCTCTTCTCAGCAATGCAAGGATCTAAGACAACTCCACAAGACTCACGATGGAAAAAGCTGTCCACATCCAGAGAAAGAACTATGGAATCTGAATGTAAATTTATTTGCTCTCCTTTTCTTTTGTTGTTTTAATTCTTCTTTCTCGTGGTTCCTCCCATTGGTTCTAATTCTTCTTTACATCTTGATTAATGGGAAAATATGCTTAATAGGAATGTCTATGTAGAACCTATATCAGATTGCATGCCATCTTGGAGAGGGAGGAGGAGAAAATTTGAAACTCAAAATCTTATGGAAGTGAATGTTGAAAACTAAAAATAAATAAATAAATTGTTTAATTAAAAAGATTCAATTCAGTAATTATTTATTAAGTTCCCAATATGCACTTAAGTTGAGATACATATGATAGGGAATACAAAAATACTACACTTTTACTAAATTATTTCAAGTTGTGTGGGTATTTTCTTCATACCTTCACAGGTCTTTTTGAGTTGCTTTGTGCTATGTGCCTGTTAGTCAAATTTCCAGGAGAAGAACGTTCCCTTAAGATAGGCCAGCTTTGAAACAAGAGATACAGTATATCATTGGGTTCCATACTCAGGAAATAGGGGTAAAAAAAATTTCCTGCTCACCTCATAAGCTCCTGAAAATCAAATGAGATTCATTCATTCACTGAAACATTTATTTCATACCTATTATGCACAGAGCCCTGTGTCAGGCACTAAAGGAGATACAAAGTTTATATAAAACAATATCTGCTATGACAACATGAAGGAACTTTGTAAATTGTAAAGTCCTATTTAAACATAAGGTATGTAAGTACTGTGAAGAATTGTTCCTGTCTTCTAATACTTGACAATTGCACTGGGGACACAAGATATAGAAAAAAAATAGAAGACGGCATATATGATTAAATACCGAGGTGATATAAACAGTAAATGCATAGGGAGTTCTGAAAAATCTAATCATATCACTCCTCCCCTCAAAAAAATTTAGGGTCTCCTTATTCACTACTCAGGAAAGGTCAAACTCTTTGTCAGGGAAAGTCCTGTATAATATGATGGTACTCTGTTGTTCCAGTCCTATCTCAAATTCTAACTCTCTATATCCCCTGCAGGGTAGCTTAAATTCTACCCTCTACCCACCACATATCATAGTGTTCTTTCCAGCCTCTGTTCCTATGCCTAGAACTCTTCCTCCCTCCAACTATAATGCACTTATGCATTTGTTTGTGTAATATCCCTTTATCAGACTGTAAGCTCCATGAGCCCAGGTGCTGTGGCTTCTCTAAACTTTATATTTTTCCAGTGTCTAGCATAGTGCTCTGCCTACAGTAAGATGAATAAAATATAAGATGAAAGAATAAAAGTAAAAGGAGAGAGACTATCTGGCATCAAGTCTCTCTCTCCCCACCCTACTCACTTCAAGTCCCTGTCATTGATAGTCTCAGAACTGTAGGACAAAGGGCTCCTACAAACCAATCTAAAAGCAACAAGAACTGTTTTAAGCACTGAGTTGAAACCCACAAGCAAACAAAAATATGCCGAAAAAACAAGACACAGCATAACTAGAAACAAGAAATATAAAATTAAACATTTCCTATTTACATATTGTATCTCCTATTATTAACAATGACCAATGTACCCAAAAGATAGGACTATTTATTATGTGAACAATCCCAAATCTTGTTTTCATGCACTTCAAAGCTTGAACATGTACAGATGCAATTTGGAAGGAACATATTCTAGTGCTGTTTTTTCCCTCCAGTGATTGAGCAAAATTTTATATTTTGTCTCCATCTCAGCACTGAATACAGAATAACCATCAGGAGGCTAGACTGGACACAGCAGAGAATAAGTCTTAAAATGACTCTTTCAAAATCTAGACCCAAATATTAACGGAACTTGGCAGGACAAGAACAACATCATTCCAATAAACATTTATGAAATGTCTAAAAAACCAAAACACCTTTTACCGAAGCCTCTATAGTTAAATGTTTTTACCACATACTCCGAGCCCCAGCCACTCTATTATTATCGAGTTAGTACTTGGGAGTAATGCCCTCAAGGCTATGAGTGGAAGGGGAACTCGGAGATTCACTTTTATTCCTTGAACACTCCGGCTTCAGGAAGGAGGTTCTCCCTGCCCCCATACAAACCGCGTACGTACGTACGTACCTACGTACACACACACACACGAACTCTCTCATACGCTCTGTCTCTCTCCCCCCCCCCATTAGAAACTCTTCAGCTCAGAGGGAGGTACAGACAGCTTGGATGCCCCCTGACCTCCTCCCACACTCCCACCCCTCTGGTGCAGACCCTCATCACCTCAGGCCCGAACTTAAATAGCCCGCAGGTGGGTCAACCTGCCTCAAGGCTCTTCCCACTTCAACCCACTCTCTATTCAGCCGTTAAACTCAGGTCAGATAGCGTTGCCCCCTACTCAATAAGCTCCAGTGGCTTCCTATAGATCTCCAGAGCAACAAAATGCTCTGTTTGGCATTCAAAGCCCTTCTCAACCCAGACCCCATCCTACTCTAACAATCTTTTTACACCTCGATCCAGTGACACACACATACGGCACCCGCCTCAGCCCTGGGCATTTCCTCTGGCCGTTCCCCCGCCGGGAGCACTCTCCCTCCTCAGCTCTCACTGCAGGCAGCCCTCTCCGACCCCTCCGTGCCAGCGCTGCCCGCCTGCCGATCCCGTGTACAGCTGGCGTCCACGCAGCTATTCGCACGCTGGCTCCCCTGTGGGCAGCAGCTGCCTCTCCCCGGGTCCTCAGCGCCCGGCCCCACGCCCGGCACGCACAGCAGGCGCATAACAAACGCTTGTCGGCCGGCTGAACGCCCGAGACCGCAGCTCGCCCAGAAGCGCTTCCCGCGGCCCGACCCTCCACCCCCGACCTCGGGCGCCCCGGAGGCCCCGGCGCTGAGGGGGCGTGGGGGAGGGGACCGAACCCAACGATCATAACCGCCGCTACCTCGGCCTCCTCAGACTACCCGGCAGCAGGAGCCAAGGGGCCCCCATACTTACTGGAAGGAGGGGCCGGGTCCGGGTCCTGTTCCGGCCCCCGGGATCCTCCGAGTCTCCCAAGGCTTCGGTGGAGGCGGCGGCTGAGACGCCATCTCCTGCTGCTCTGCTCGCCTCCCGCTCCGCTCGGCGGCGGCGGCTCCAGCCGGGGTCATCGGAGCGTCCCGCGCCAGCAGACCTGACGAGGAGAGCGACGAATCATCCACTACCGGGCGAGAGTTCGGCTTTCCACGAGCCAGGGCAAGTCCCTTGCCCCGCGGAGGATCTATCGGGTGACGCGAGACCACATTCTGTTGAACACAACCCCTCTTTCCTTTCCTGGCTACCTGTGGAAGCTCCCAAGGTAGGGGAGGGGCTTATCGATGTTTTCTTTTGCGGCTAAGGAGGCCTGGAGACCGTTGTTTTCCTACCTCCCTAGATTGAAGTCAATATTCCACTGGGGACGGATTACCTCCACCGGGGGTCACTGAGACAAGACTGGGCCCCCCAAACCCTTGTCTTTCTGAGTGCACCCGGTGAGAGCTCACGTCGGTCTTCTCAACCCATGGGCGGGGACAAGCAGGGGCAGGGCCGGAGATGGCGTTGAGGAAAGGCGGTACCTTAATGATGGGGAGTGTGTTTCCTCATGGGACGGTATTGCGCGTAGCACCGAGTGTCTTCTTTTTTTGCCCCCATTCCCTCAGAGGGACCGAAGGGGTTAAGCTCGGTTGCTGCGGTCGCCGCTGCTGGAGACAGGCTCCCGGGAAGCGGACGCGGGAGAAGCCGGGCTGAAGAGACCGGAGCGGAAGAGAGACTGGCCTTGAGGGGTCCGCGCAGGCGAGTGAGGGAGGACCGAGGCCGGGAGCTGCCGGAGCCTGCACCCGGCCGGAGGGACGCGAGCGAACTTTCCCAGCTGCTGGAGGTGCGGGGGTTAGCACAACGCCCGAATCTGCGGATTGGCCGAGGAAGTTGTGGCGCCTGGAAGTGTCCGAGGGTGAGACCGACGTGGGAGGTTGCTTTAGGTATTCCAGGAGGTAGGTATCATCCCGGGGGTGACGCATGCCTTTCCTTCTCTTCTTCCCCCTCCCCCCCTTCACTCCTGCGTCCCTCTTTTCCTTCTAAGTGGTTTATTTTACTATACTGTATAAGGGGTGAACCAAGAAGTCCATACCCTCCTTATCCCCATCGCTCCATCGCTCCCTCCCCACTGTGCAGGGTTGGGGGGTGGGGAGAGAGGAGAAACTCCCGGAGTTGGAAGATAAAGCCGTTTGCGATCGGTCCACGTGGGAGGTGTGCTGCCAGAAGTTCCAGGACTTAGTGCGGTTTAAAACACCTCTCCTCACCTCATCCCAAATGAACACAAACAGGGAAAAAAGTACAAAAAAAAGGAAAGATGATGAGACCCAGGGTCTTTAGTCATTCAATTGTAGTCGACTGAACCCTGATTGGATTTGGGAGTCTAAAGATTCGGCTTTTTTGTTAGCAATGATAGTGGAATCTGTTTGGTTGCTTAACAGCCATGTGACTGACCAAGCTCCCTCAGCTTCTCTTGTTTATCTATTAGATGGGGATCTAAGTACTAAAGTTCAATTCCTATACTTTATCAAGGCACGTAGGTGACACTTAGTTCTCATATACTACGCTTGCATAACATGTACTTTAGCAATTCCTATCAAGTTGGAAAGGATTTTAGTAGGAGATCACATGTCATCTGAGGACCAACCTTCCCAAGCTAAAGAACAATGCCCCCTCTCCTTTAAAAAAAAAAGGGGGGTTTTTGGGGGGGGATGGAGTGGAGGAGGTTGTTTTAGCAGCTCCGATCGTAAGGCATTCAGAGAATTCATTTCCATTAGGTGAAAGGAATCCTCGGAGTGATGTAGATCTGTTGAAGTATTGAAGAAGAAAATATTTGCAATGCCACTCATATAGTGGTTGTAAGGAATTTTTTTTTCAAACTGTAGTTCCAGTGTTGAAAGATTGAGTGTGTAAAGTGAAAAAAAAAGCCAATATTCCTTATATCCTCTTTTTAACAATAATTTAATAGATGAATGAGCATTTGGTTGCTGGATCAGAACAATGTGTGTTATGATTTTTAAGTGCCTGAATTACTAAAAATATTTCATAATAGCATTGTATATGCGGTTAGATGGGTGTTTTGCTTAGTTCTCAATTTATTTTTAAATTTTTATTTTTTTATTAAGAGAGGATATTTGCTGAGGAGAGAAGGGATATATTAGAAAATAATGAGGTAAAACAAATCATCTCAGTAAAAACTAAACATTAAAATTTTTACTCCTAGAAATCTATTATAGTTATTTAGTAAAGAGGGTTAAGTGATCCTCAGATTTGTGAACCACTTCTTTCAGGGATTTAATATGCCACCTATTTCTTGAATTAACATTGTATCCTTATTTTAGAAAGATGGGTTCAAAGGATATTAGTCTTTAAAACCCAGAGAGAAGGAGCACAAAAGAGAAAAAGAAATAGTGGAGGGTTAGCAGCATTTTATTAATTAGTTAGAGTCCTTGGGGAAAATATCCCCATAATTTAGCCATTTCTGCTTTTTACATTATTTACTTGTCATTTGTGGTAGAGTTGACTCTTGGTACAATGCAACTGTGAATTAAATGAATACCTTGTCACTGTTCTTAAGGACTAGAATAATGAAGATAATCTGGTGATACAGAAGCTTGTATTTGATTTTGGATTACAGTTTGAGCTGGATACTTAGATGCCTATGTTGACGTACTTAGATAATTTGCCTCTCTTAGGGGAAGGGAGCTTTGAGATACTCTTGTACATGATTCACAATTGACAGCATATATATTTATCATATGAAAATTATAGTGATTGGACTTTACATTTTTGGCATTCTGTTATCATGAAAGTTGTAAATTCATGTTTCTAGTAATCCATGTCTTCAACTTAGGACCCTTTAAAAAAATTAGGCATCTATTATTCACAAAACTTTCAGGTATATAAAGACAAAAACAAAACAGTTCTTGCTCTCTAGGAGCTTACATTCTATATACAACATGCACACTAATCCAACAAACAGCTATCATTTATATAGCCTTTATTACGTTCCAGGCACTGTGCTAATAAGTACTTCATTTTCTTCCATTCCTCACAACAATTCTGGGAGGTAGCTACTATGATTATCCCCATTTTACAGATGAGGAAACTTAGGCAAACAGGTTAAGTGAATTGGCCAAGATCACACACAACTTGGAAGTGTCTGAGGGTGGGTTTGAATTTAGGTTCTCTTGATTCTAGGCCTAGCAGTCTTTCACTTTATAACACCTAAGTTAGCATGGTGCCTGGCACCTACTGGCTGCTTAATAAATGCTAGTTGACATTAAGGGCCTACTATGTGCAAAGTGCAGGAAATAGATTCAGACTACAAACAGTTCCTGCTCTCAAGGAATTTGCATTTTGCTAGAGGAAAACAGTTATGTATAAACATAAGTGTGTACCAGAGGAGGAAGGAAGAGAGCACCTTGCAGAAGCTGGGGATTAATAAAGGCTTTCCAGCAGGGGTTGAAAATTAACTGAAGGCAGAGGTGACACAATGCTCAATTTGAGAAACAGTGAGTAGCACTGTGATGGGTGCTAGGAGTACTAAAAGAGGCCAAACACAGTCCTTGCCTTCAAGGAATTTGCAATAAAATGGTTGTCCAAACAAATATATACAAATCAAATTATCTACTGGATAATTAGGAAATAATTAGCAGAGGAGAGAACTGGAATTAAGAAGGGTTGGGGAAGGCATGCTGTAAAAAGTGAGATTTTATTTGGGATTTAAAGGAAGCCAAGGAGGTCAGTAGTTGGAATAGAGGAGAGAGAGCATTCCAGCCATTGGGAGAACAGCCAGAGAAAATGGCTGGAGCTAAGAGATGGAGTGTCTTGTTCCAGTGTCACTGGATCAAAGAGTGCGTGTTGAGGAGTAAGGTGTAAGAAGACTGGAAAGATAGGAGGGGTCTAGCTTATGAAGTTCGGCTTTGAAAGCAAAACAGTATTTTGTACTGGAGGCACTAGGAAGCTATTAGAGTTTATTGAGTAGGAGGGTAACATGATCAGAGCTGTGTTGTAGGAAAATGACATTAGTAGCTCAATGGGGGCTGGATTGGAGTGGAGAGAGACTTGAGGTAGGCAGACCTTGCAATAATCAGTAGTGATGGGGACCTGTAACTAAAACGGTGACAGTGTCAGAGGAGAGAAGGGGTTGTGTTTGAGAGATGTTGCAAAGGTGAAATCAACAGGCCTTGGCAACAGACTAGATGTGGGGGGTGAGAGATAGCGAGGAGTCTAGGATGACTTCTAGGTTTCAAACCTGAAAGACTGGGAGGTTGCCCTAGTGATAGGGAAGATAGGAGCTGGAAGATAATGAGTTCTGTTTTGGACATTTTGACTTTCAGATTTCTACTAGACATTTTGTTTGAGGTACCTGAAAGGCAGTTGGAGATGTGAGATTGGAGGTTAACAGACAGATTGGGACAAGAAAGGTAGATTTGAGAATCATCAGCATTGTGATGATAAAGTCCATAGGAGCTGATGAGATCACTAAGTGAAGTGGTATAGAGGGAGAAGAGAAAATGGCCAAGGACATAACCCTGAGGAACATTTACAGTTAGAGGGTGTGATCTGGAGGAAGATCCAGCAAAAGAGACAGAGAAGGGTGGGTCACATTGGTAGAACAAAAACCTGGAGAGAGTGGTATCCCAAAAACCTAGAAAGAAGAGAGTATCAATGGAGGATAGAGTGATCAACAGTGTCAAAGGCTGCAGAAAGGTTAAGGAGAATAAGGATTGAGAAACTGAAGGGCAAATAGGAGATCATTAGTAACTTTGGAGAGAGCAGTTTCAGTGGATTGATACAGTCAGAAGGCAGATTGTAAGTGGATAAGAAGAGATTGAGAGTAGAGAAAGTGGAAGCACCAATTGTAAACAGACTTTTCAAGGAGTTTAGCTACAAAGGGCAGAAGAGATAAAGGATGATAGTTAGCAGAGATAGAAGGATTAAATGAGGGTTGGTTTTTTTTTTTTAGGATGGGGAGCTATAAGCATGTTTGTAGGTAGTAGGAAATGAGCCAGTAGACAGGGAGAGATTAAAAATAAGTGAAAAAGTGGGGATGACAAAGGAGGCAGTCTGTTGGAGGAGACAAGATGGAATGGGATCACTTGTAAGGAGAGGGATTAGCTTTGGTAAGGAGTAAGAGTAAGGCCACTTCATTATGTGAAACAGGAGTGAAAGAGCAAAGAGTATCAGAAGG